CGATTCAAGACACCAAAACTTACATGGATTCCTACCATATAGTTCTAGACATACGAAACATCAAGAAGACGCTCAAATAGTTCCACAAAAGAACATCGGGAAGGCAAAAGACCAAATACCGAGTCAAAAGAATCACGGGGAACAAATCCCTAACAACACCATATATGTACCCCGCGGGTGGACCCACAGGTAGGCCCCTACCCGCGGTTACATACCCACCGGCTTATGTTACCCGCGGGTGGGCGGCGGGTGGATCCCCTCCCCGCCGTTCCGCCCGCGGGTACGTAACCCTGTACCAAATAATCCCTTCGGGGATTTTCAACTCCAAGCTCAAATTCAAGTCCAAAACATGCCAAAAACTCACCAAATACAACAAAATGACTTGAATCAAAGGAATAGCCAAGCAATGGCACACAAGAACCCTAAACACAAGCTCTAGATATGCATTTTCACAAGACAATGCATAAACACTCACAATTCATAGCAAAACACATGTAGAATCCAAGAAATCATCATATAGGTAAGCAAAATAGATTTTGTAGAGCATGGGTTACCTCTTGTAGACAAAAACCTTCTCTTAACACCTCACCAAGCTCTTAACAAAGCTCACCTTCCAAACCCATCCACTTCAAGAACACACCAAAAGATCATAAAGATTCTATCTTTAAGAAAAGACACCTTAGAAAACACTAAAAACACAAGATGAACATGGATCTTACCCTCCTAGATGCCCAAATGTATGAAAGGTAGAATCTTGGAGACAACTCTTGAAGTTTTGACAAAGCTTCAACTTGGCTTGGAAGAAAAGCTATCTATCCTTTTAGAGAGAAGGTGGAGCTAGAATTTGGGAAGTGTAAGGAGAGAAATGAGGGTGTTCTACTAGGTTAGCTTACAATACTAACACAAGGTGAAAAGTCAAGAATACCCTTACTAACATGAAGTGGTGTAAGGGAACAAGGGAACTCCCTACAAAGCTCAAGGTACAACTTTGACTTTGTGGTTGACTAGTCAATTACTAGTCCCCGACTATTGAATTTCCAGGATTTTAAGAATTAAATTACCAATTGAAATAGGATTAATTATTTAATTAATCCCTTAATTGAATTTGGATTACGGGGTGTCACAGTTTAGATAGTTCTAGCCTGGATGAGATGGCCTGCTTGCCTTGAATTGTATTTGGATATTAGTTATGGTTTATGCCTTGTTAGTTAGTTTAGCCTGTGCATCTGATTTCTCCAGCTCAGTTGTGGCATAGCACCCCGACTACTATGTCAAGTTTATGCTCTGTTTGGGAATTTATAAGAGATTAGCCTTTATTTTAAAGGTTTTAAATATCTTGAAATTTAGGGGTGTTACAATATCCAAACGAAACACAAGGTTGGACCCTTAGCACGATTCAAGACACCAAATCCTAACATGTATTCCGAACGCATCGTTCTAGACATACGAAACATCAAGAAGACTCACAAATAGCTCAATAATCCAACAACGGGAGGTCAAAACATCAATACCAAGAAGAAAAGAATCACGGGGAACAAATCCCCGCACCAACCACAATTGTTCCCCTCGGGTGGGGCCACGGGTAGGCCCCCACCCGTGGGCCTGCCCGCGGGGTACAACCTTCACGCAGCCTGTTCCCCGCGGGTGGGGCGGCGGGTAGGACACTGCCCGCCGTTCTGCCCGAGGGGTACAATACATATACACCAAAATTCCCTTCGGGGGTTTTCATCATCAAGGTCAAGTTCAAGTCCAAAACACCAAAAATCTCACACATAACAAAGATATGACTTGAACCCAAGAAATAGCCAAGCAATGGCATTCAAGAAACCTAAATACAAGCTCTAAACATGCATCATCACAAGATCATGCATCAAATCTCACAAGTCACACCAAGAACATCAAATAGAAGCCAATAATCATCATTTAGGTAAAAAAAATAGGTTTTGTATAGCATGGGTTACCTTTGTAGCTTAACAACTTCTCCTTTTCACCCTCCTAAGCCTCTTCATAGAGTTCATCTTCTCCACCAACTTCTTACAAAAGCCAAAACACATGAAAGATTCTAACTTAGATAAAGACACCCAAAAGATGGTTAAAAACACTAAAAAGCTATGAACCTTGCCCTTTCTTATGCTTGGGAAGAAGAAAGTAGGAATCTTAGAGTGGGATCTTGCAAGGCTAGAAGGTTCTCCTTTTTGCTTGAAGAATAAGCTAGGTTCTTTTAGAGAGATGTTAGAGTGTTTGAGACTTAGGCTTGAGTGAGGAATGAATGAAATGTCTTGCTAGGGATAGCTTGAACAACAATTCATGGGTGAAGTGTCACTTTTACCCTTACTAAGGTTGGAAAGACAGAGGGGTAAGGGCACAAACCATAACGCACAAGGTACACCTGATTGACTTAAGTGACTAGTCAAATTCTAGTCCCTTGACTATTAACTTTCAGGAGTTTTAGAAATGGATTACGAAAGAAAGCTTGGATTAATTCTTCAATTAATCCCAATTAGTATTTAGATTTACGGGGTGTCACATCCTCTCCCCCTAACAAGAAGCTTCGTCCCCGAAGCTTGGGCACGACGGATTTAACAAAAAGATAGCAAAGAATCAAAGATGTGACAAAAGATTACAAAGTGTAAGTAAACAAGGGCTCCAAAGATCAAAAAGTAATGCAAGGTTTCAAGGTAACGGAGAAAACTTCTCAAGCAACACTACCACTAGCACAACTTAAGACCAACCAAAAACCATCTACGCTAGTCCTAAACCATGAACAGGCTAAGCTCAAATGAGGCAAAGCAACTAAATAAACAACTTAAACAACAAGCTAACAACCAAAGCAAACAAGGGAGCACCACTAAACACCCAACTAAACAAGCAACATCCAACCAGCTGGCAACCAAGACAAACAAGGAAGGAAACAAGCTTACGCCAAACTCCAGCCTAGGAGGAATCATCCTCCGAATCCTAGGCATCCTCGTTAGAAGCTTCCTCGGCTCTACCTCGGCTAGAGCTAGCTTCCAGCATATCCAGCCTTTGATTCACGGTGACCAGCTGAGCCTTCATGAAGGAAAAAACCTCTTCAATCATTCGATTTTGTTATCTTAGAAGGGCCACCACACGCTCCTCATGGGTTATTGCATCGTGCTCTCTCTTCGTCATCACCTCTTTTCTTCTCAAGTTCTCCTCACTCTCGGGATCACTTTCCTCAGATTCCTCTTCTTCTTCTTCTCCTCCCTCTTCTTCTTTTTCTTCATCATCATCTCCTCCCAAACTCTGCACCACCTGATTCAACTTCCCAACGGGAATCTCGAGCTGCTCAACCAAGGAACTCCTCTCGGCAAGGGGTTTCTTTGCTACTTCCTCCAGGGTGATGTATTCATCATTTTCCCACTGAAACATATTGCAGCTCCGGAGGTTCACGACATCCAAAACCATTTTGCCCACTGGCTTGGACACATGGCCATCCACTTTCACCCCTTTCTTTAAGAAAATCCAACTCAAAACCATACCATAGGGTAGGCTTTTACGGTTATGGTCCCTACAGTAGTCCATGTGTTGCAGCATCAAGGAGGGCAGATTGAACTTCACTTTGTATTTCAGGTAAAAGGCAAATGTGCATTCCAACTTTCCCAACAAATTACTTTTATTGTTGTTAGGCAACAAGCATTTCCAAAATCTTTTGCTCAGCAGAAAGCCATTTCCTTTATGGCCTCGTGGCTTGGGTAAAACCACTTGTCCTACCTAACAAAAAGCTTAAATAATTCTGATAGCTCAAGTTACTTGTCACAATCCAAGAATCACCACTGTACTGTGAGACCCTGGTGGTCGTCAAACTCAAGAGCTGAGCCAACCGTTTCTCAGTCAAGGAAATTTTCATACCTCCCACTTTAGAGGTGATTTCCAACATTCCCCCCTCTTTAGTCACACTCATGTGACGATAGAACACTTTCACCAAACTTGGGTAGGTCTCGGTTCTAATCGCAAGATACCCATCTAACAAGCCTTGATAATTCAACAATTCCAACATAGAGCTTGAAAAAGGTTCGGGGTCAAAAGCTTTACCTTCCAAAACCGAGTAATGGGCATCCACCCACGCCACTCTTCTCGCGGTTTTTGACCTTCTAGGCATGATATGAGATGTCAAAGATTAAGTAGAACCAAAGCTTTTCCTTTTTCTTCTTTTCTTCTCTTTTCTTCCCTTTTCTTCTTCCCTTTCGGCCTGCTTCACCGGCGAGGACATGGCGGCGGCGCGGAACTGCTGTGGCGGCGATGAGCTACGGCGGACGGCGACGGGTGGTGGTCGGCGGTGCTGGTAGGGCGACGGGCAGAGGAGAGCGACAGGGGGTGGGTTCTCGGCTGATGCTGCGCACGGGTCGGAGAGAAAGAAAAAGAGGGAAGAGTTTTGGGGAAAATTTGGAAAAAGAAGATTTTAATTTGGGGATTTTTGGGTAGGTTTAGAGAAAAAGGTTAAAAGGAACTTATGTGGAAAAAAGTTCAAGAAACACAATTGGTGTAGATGGTTTAAGGTATGGCTTAGAAACTTTAAAGCCTGGGTTTAAAACTCACTAATTACAAATTAAACTTTTCCTAACTTTTTAAGCTTAACTACCCCGGGATCTATAAACTAAGGTTAACAACTCAAAAGGAACAATCAAGCCACAAGGGGTAATTCACTCAAAGAAAGGTAACAAGGAAAACCACACAAAAAGGGTACATCTCAAGGTAAAAAGGTAGGCTCAAGGAAAACCACACAAAAAGGGTACATCTCAAGGTAAAAAGGTAGGCTCAAGAAGGACACCTGTAGCCTCCTCCTCCAGAATGCCCTCGGCCTCAGCCTGCGACCTGCTCATCACGAACACCCTGCCTAAAGGCTTCGTCCCTCCCGAGCCAAGACCGGAACTCCCTCCTGGTGGTCCTCCGGATCTGGCGCTAGATGGCAAGGCTCTCTGGTTGGACTGGAGGTGACAATCAAAAGCTTTGTGGCCGCTTTCCCCACACTTGAAGCACTAGAGCGCGTTACCCTGACAATCTTTTCCGATGTGATCCTTCCCACATCTCTTGCATCCGAAGGGTCTCCCTCTCTCTCCAAAATCGGTCCGAGCCGGTCCCTGGGGCTGAGAAGGAGCTGGTCTTGCTCTAAAATCTTGCCTTGTCCTCTTGAAACTTTGAGATCCACTCCCTTCGCTTCTCTTCCTAGCCAACTCATTAGATCCCCTTTGAAGCTGTTGCACTCGGTACAGATCTGCTGCACTCAGATAAGCCTCATTGAGCGTCTTAGGCCCGTTCACCATCAAAGCTTTCCTGGCTTCATAGTTGAGCCCCGCAACGAACTTCTCCACCTTAGCCAACTCGGTGGGAACCAACATCCGCGCATAGCGAGCCAACTCGAGGAAGCGTTTGTGGTACTCCACCACGGTTGATGACCCTTGTTGGAGATGCAGGAACTCTTCGTACATGGCCGCCCTAACGTGGGACGGGTAGAATCTCTCTCCTAACTTATCCTTCAAAGCCGACCAATCGAACCCTGGCTCTTCTAGCCACGTCGGTCCTTCATGCACCCACCAAAGATTCGCCTCGTGGCTAAAGTAGAACGTAGCCAACTCGACGCGGAGGTCGTCCAGACAACCCACTACGGCAAAAATCTTGTCCAAGGACCTGATCCACTCCTCAAGCAGAACAGGGTCTTCTAATCCAGCAAAGACGGACGGCCTATGCCCCGAAACTAAGCGGCCCACATCTCGATTCCCAGCTAGCGGCGGCGGAGTAGGGTTGTTTTTGTGCAAGAGGGCATCGCTCAACGTCTGCATTGTCTGAGTCAGCTGCTGTAGGTTCTGAGCCAGCTGCTCATTTGTGGGCGTCTCCGGTGTACGGGCACGGTGGCGAGGCGGAGCCATAGCGAGATTCTACATAAACAACACGGTTACGGCACAACACGAGAAAGCTGCGGACCCTTACCCAGCACTTAAAACGAGGAAACTACAACTAAACAAGAACAATAAGAAAAACACAACAAACGATAAGAAAACTCACATCTCACCGCGTGTCCTAAGAATCTTCAGTCCTAACACTTAGGCACTTAAAGGTCAACTTAGAGTTTTAATTCACACTTAACTTCTGAAAATTCAACTCTTAACATCCTAGGCTCAAACCTAGGCTCTGATACCAACTGTAACACCCCCGATTTTTACCAACTTTTTTAAAATTAAATTCAAGATAAACAAACTAACATCAATCAACATAAAGCAGAAGCTATCAAAAACCGGGAAAGGTGTTATGCCACACCCATAAAACCATGGGTGCATAGGCTAAGTCTACAACAATCCATCAAAAACAACATACTGTCTAGGGCACACATGACACGTCTATCTAAGGTTCACAGGCCCAAAACATAATAATTAAAGGAAGGGGGAACTACACTAGCTACTAACAACGACTAGCGCGCTCCACAACTAAGCAAAACCTGTAAAAGATAAGGGATAACACCCGGTCAGCAAATAATGCTGGTAACCCATCAATACGCGTTAAATAACATAGTATATAGATAGATATAATCAAAACCATTTGAGACTGAGGAATACAGTATATAGTCATTTGAAAGCCAAAAGAAGATCAACATCAAAGAATCATCACACTCTCAACAAGAACGAGGATCATCAACCTCAACAAGACAACAAATCACAAACAACAAGGAACAACACAATATAGATGCAACCTACCATTCACAAGGTAGAGTTCATCAAAGACGTGCATATAAGCAAGGAAATTCACATTCACGTAATGACACATTCCTGTTTCAAGTTTCAAAGTTCCAACCTTATGCCCTGTTCCAACCTTATGGCTACCCGTGGCCTTATCACAGTTCCAACCGTTACCTCCTAGTGCCACCCTGTACTTCTGAGTCCAACCTTATTCCGCTTGGGACCGTCGTCCCCCACCTACACCGCCAATCATTCACCGCCGAACTCTCAGCACACGAGGGTACCATGAAATAACATAGTCACACACCATCGATCATGTGAGCAAAGCTCAAGTCACAAACCACCAATCTCATTCATATTCACACATAGTCATCATTATCAAGAAGACTAAAGCCCATCAATAGCCCCATTCAAGTATGAAAAAAGGGTACAACAATTTGTACAAGATCACACCTTAAGAATCAATAAATACATCACAACGAAGACATGAGACAATACTCAACAACAAAGGATTACAATCCAACATCAAATGATTGACAATACGAGTTGTCAACCCCATCAAGAAAGAACAAACCATACATACTAGCATATCAACATCAAACTAGCATGCTCATCAAACGGGTAAACCGAAATGGTTCCAACGAACCTTCAAAACTCATGTACGCCCAACGAAACACAAGGTTGGACCCTTAGCACGATTCAAGACCCCAAATCCTAACGTGGATTCCTAACACATCGTTCTAGACATACGAAACATCAAGAAGACTCACAAATAGCTCAATAATCCAACAACGGGAGGTCAAAACATCAATACCAAGAAGAAAAGAATCACGGGGAACAAATCCCCGCACCAACCACAATTGTTCCCCGCGGGTGGGGCCACGGGTAGGCCCCCACCCGTGGGCCTGCACGCGGGGTACAACCCACACGCAGCCTGTTCCCCGCGGGTGGGGCGGCGGGTAGGCCACTGCCCACCGTTCTGCCCGCGGGATACAATACCTGTACACCAATATTCCCTTCGGGGATTTTCATCATCAAGGTCAAGTTCCAGTCCAAAACACCCAAAATCTCACACACAACACATATATGACTTGAACCCAAGAAATAGCCAAGCAATGGCATTCAAGAAACCTAAATACAGGCTCTAAACATGCATCATCACAAGATCATGCATCAAATCTCACAAATCACACCAAGAACATCAAATAGAAGCTAATAAGCATCATTTCAGTAAGAAAATAGGTTTTGTATAGCATGGGTTACCTTTGTAGCTTAACAACTTCTCATTTTCACCCTCCTAAGCCTCTTCTTAGAGTTCCTCTTCTCCACCAAATTCTTACACAAGCCAGAACACAAGAAAGATTCTAACTTAGATAAAGACACCCAAAAGATGGCTAAAAACACTCAAAAGCTATGAACCTTACCCTTTCTTATGCTTGGGAAGAAGAAAGTAGGAATCTTGGAGTGAGATCTTGAAAGGCTAGAAGGTTCACCTTTTTTCTTGAAGAATAAGCTAGGTTCTTTTAGAGAGATGTTAGAGTATTTGAGACTTAGGCTTGAGTGAGGAATGAATGAAATGTCTTGCTAGGGATAGCTTGAACAACAATTCATGGGTGAAAGGTCATTTTTACCCTTACTAAAGTTGGAAAGATAAAGGGGTAAGGGCACAAACCATAAAGCACAAGGTACACCTGATTGACTTAAGTGATTAGTCAAATTCTAGTCCCTTGACTATTAAATTTCAGGATTTTTAGAAATGGATTACCAAAGAAAGCTTAGATTAATTCTTCAATTAAACCCAAAAGGAGTTCTTTCCAGAAGGAGTTGTAGGGTCCATCCGAAAAGATCTAGTTTCTCCATAAGGAGCTCTTTTCGTAAACGTTGCCTAAAATGCACAAGAAATTTGACTAATGTGTATACATACACCATCAGCACACATGAATCCCCATCTCAAAATGCACAAAAAAAATGCTCAAGAATGTACTACAATTAAAAACGCACCTATCACGTTTTACTTTGAAAATTCCAATCAGTCGACGAACTTACCTACAACCAGCTACTGTAACGAAACAATTAACATACGACAAAAATAACGTGAGCTCTGTTGTTGACGGGGTTGTAGAAAGAACTTAATCCTACCAAAAATATACTTCCTAAAATAATGCATGATTACATTTGATTATAATAATATTCGGATTCAAAATGCACACAAATTTAAGTCTTGAATTTGTAGTTTTTTAATTTGATAATCTAATTACATTTTGGTACATAATTTGAGGGCCGGGTGTTCATTTTTTTTTCCTATAATATTTATAAGATGACAAATAAAATATAATATTACACGTGATGATTGAGTCTTAGGTACACATAATTTAACTTTTATGTTGCTAATTCGATAAACACTGCGGGAAATGTTCACTTTTCCAATCGCTCTAAAAAATAGCCAAAAAAATTGTGTTTTTTTTTCAAATTTTCGTCGAACAATTGTGGTGGACAGAAAAATGCCGGTATTTCTGATCACCTTTATTTTATTGGTGAGGTACTAGTGGTCTAGTGGTAAAATAGTATCCTGCCACGGTACAGACCCGAGTTTGATTCCTGGTTGTTGCATTTTTGTTTTTAGAAATGTTTTATAAACTAATCTAATTATTACCAATCAGTATATGTCATATGCGGATCATTGTTCATTTTTAATATATTGAAAGTTCACTTATAAATATCATGATTTATTTTGCTTATCATTATATTTGTAAAGGTTTCTTGTCTTTTGTGAAAATTCCACGTTTAACATAAGGCTATCGTTTTTATCATTAAACACCCTGGACTATAAAATTTTGAACATTTTTTGTCATTTTGATAACTTTTCCGATTAAACATTGTTTTAGACAATGATATTTTTGTCTCATCACTTTAAAAAAATATTCGATTTACCTTAATCTCTTTCGTCGGTTGTTTTCGTCTCTTAGACTCTTTCATAATTGTGCATTTATAGACAAATTATTGTGTATTATAGAAGAATACCAAAGATGGCTTAGATCATAGGAGAGCGCACAGGTATAAAACTCTCCAAAAGGAGCTCTCTTCGGAAGAAGTTGTAGGGTCCATCCTGAATGAGCTAGTTGCTCCATAAGGAGATCTTTTCGTAAACGTTGACTAAAATGCACAAGAAATTTGACTAATGTGTACACATACACCATCAGCACATATGAATCCCTATCAAAAAAATGCACAAAACAATGCTCAAGAATGTACTACAATTAAAAACGCACCTATCACGTTTCACTTTGAAAATTCAGTCAGTCGACGATCTTAACTGCAACCAGCGAGTGCAACAAAACAATTAACATACGGCAAAAATAACGTGAGCTCTGTTGTTGACGAGGTTGTAGAAAGAACTTAATCGTACAAAAAATATACTTCCTAAAATAATGCATGATTACGTTTGATTTTAATAATATTCAAATTCAAAATCCACACAAAGTTAAAGGGTTCAATTTGTAGTTTTTTAATTTGATAATATAAGTACAATTTGGTACATAATTTGAGGGCCGGCTATTCATTTTTATCCTATAATATATATAAGATGACAAATAAAATATAATATTACACGTGATGATTGAGTCTTAGGTACACATAATTTAACTTTTATGTTGCTAATTCCAAAACCACTGCGGGAAATGTTCACTTTTCCAATCGCTCTAAAAAATAGCCGCAAAAAGTGCATTTTTTTTCAAATTATCGTCGATCAATTGTGGTGGACGGAAAAATGTCGGTATTTCTGAACACCTTTATTTTATTGGTGAGGCACTTGTGGTCTAGTTGTAGAATAGTACCCTGCCACGGTACAGACCAGGGTTCGATTCATGGCTGGTGCATTTTTGTTTTTAGAAATGTTTTATAAACTAATCTAATTATTACCAATCAGTATATGTCATATGCGGATCATTGTTCATTTTTAATATTTTGAATGTTCATTTTTAAATATCATGATTTATTTTGTTTATCATTATATTTGTAGTGGACACTTGTCTTTTCTGAAAATTCCATGTTTAATATAAGACTATCGTTTTTGTCATTAAACACCCTAAACTATAAAATTTTGAACATTTTTTGTCATTTTGATAACTTTTCCAACGAAACTTTGTTTTATACAAGTTTATTTTTGTCTCGTTACTTTAAAAAAAATATTCAATTTT